ATAACAAGCAATTAAGTCTTTTTTTTGAAAAAAGGAAAAAATTATCGATTAATAATTTGAATTAAAAGTCATGGTAATATTTCTAGTAGGCTAAATAACTCAGTAAAAATTTCTTTTAAATAAAAGTAAGAAATTGAGTTTTAGTTACGTAATATATGGATGTGGTAAATTAAAAGGTGAGAAAAAGTTATTTTTTATTGTACAATTTAAATTTTTTTTAAAAAAAGAGTCTTATTATTAAAAAAAGAAAAAAGAAGTCTTGATAATTTGCTGTCCTTTGTTTGTATTAGAAACCCCTGTTAAATTATAACAAATTGAAACCTTCAAGAGTTTTTAAGAAACTTTCTTTTTAAACTTCAATAGAAATTGAAGAAGAATAAAGAAAGTTAACTTACCAAATATTTCCGAGAGGGCAAGAAATGGAAACCAAAGTTTGGAGAAAGCGATACATTCAGTGGAATTATTTGTTCCAAAAAGTAGTAAAATTGATATATTAGATTGTTTATAAAGAAGCCAAACATAACTCAAAAGAGTTTTTCAATCCTCTTTGTTCATCACTCTCCCGCAATTGCTTACAAGTTTCCTTGGTTACATTTTCTTTCTTGACCACATTCGTCAAGTATATATGGAAATTGACATGTAATAAATATGATGTACGTATATGCCAATATGTAATGGAGTGGAAGAACTTCAAATCAAAGTAGGAACCAATTTTTAGACAAAACAACAGTTTATAAAAGTGATAGTTATAGAAATTTCAAAATAAGAAAGTAACATGGAAAAATCAACGTATAATGGATGACTAGAAATCTCTTTCCTAATTTCTTTATAATTTTGCATGTGGTTCGTCAATTACATTTTAAGGAATTTGCATATGGTTCGTCAATTACATTTTAATGAAGAAAATTCCTTGCACCTAAGTTTGATGGGTAAACTCATCACAATCAATTCAATTGCATCCTTACTACTACTTCAAAAACTATACGTTAAGCCCTTGAACTAAGCTCATATTCTTAATTGAGTCCCTAGACCTTTTTTAAAAGTAGATAAACCTTTGAACCCCACAATCTGTGCAATTTTATCCCTTTTTGTCTTTTTTTGGCCGCATCTTTGTAGTTTGCCGTTAACAAGAGGGCAAAATTGCATAGATCGTAGAGTTCAAGGGCTTATATACTTTAAAAAAAGTTTAAGGGCTCAATTGAGAATATTGGATTAGTTCAAGCGCTTAACATGAGGTTTTGTCTAAAAAAAGAAAAATAATTCATAGATAATTTTTTTAATCATATTTTGATATAACTTTATATGTCATTTAAATAATTGATTTTTTTATTCAT